CAAGGGTGTGGATGTGTGACAGGAATGCCTAAAGCTCACGTGTGTATGTGTGTGCGCACACGCTGTGAATGTCCAAGGAAGTGTGTATGTGATGTGAAAGCAAAGCTATGGATATGATGATCAAAGGTGTGTGTGTGAGAGAGAGAGAGAGAGAGAGAAACAGAGAAGACAGAGACAAAGATAGGCAGGGAGAGACAGAAAAAGAGACAAGAAAACAGATGAGAAACACAGGCAAAGACACAGAGAGAAAAGATGACACAAAGAGATTTGTAAGACAAGGAGAAAAAAACGGGCCTGGGAGAAAAGAAGTGTACAGAACTGTTCTCAATGTACACAGTAGGGAAGTGTGGCCATGCATCTCCTTTGAGCGCAGGTCATATGCTGCACGTGTGAGCGATGTTTTCAGAGGTTGCACATGAGGTATGGCTACGAGAAACATGAAATGTGTTTCCACAAACACGGTGCCATCCACATGAGTTTCATCTGCTTCAAAACAGCCCCCTGAAGAAGTTAAATTCTTTGTCTACAGTTGCCAGCCATGGCCTAATGAAAATTTCACACCTGCCAAACAAAAAATGTCTCTCCAATTGCTATTGATAATCACATATTCCTGTCAGCAGAAGCTACAATTCACTCCCACTGTTGCTTCAAGAACTGGTCCCAAAAGGGGAAAAGAAAAAGTTCCTGGGCTGGGAAGGTGGCTCAGTGGTAGAGCACTTGCCTTGCATGCATGAGGCCCCGGGTTCCATTCCTCAGCACCACCTAAGCAGAAAAAGCTGGAAGTGGCACTGTGGCTCAAGTGGTAGAGCGCTAGCCTTGAGCTGAAGAGCTGAGGGACAGCGCCCAGGCCCAGAGTTCAGGCCCCACGACCAACCAAACAACAGAAAGGAAGGGAAGGGAAGGGAAGGGAGTTCCTTTGCTACCTTTCCTGCCAAGCCTCCTTCAGGTCATTCAGAGCTGTAATGCAGCGGTGGGGCCCGTGCCTAGCACGTACCAGGCCCTGGGGTTCCATCCCTGCACTTGGCAAAAAAAAAAAAAAAGAAACCACCCCAAGTTTCAGTGCTCACTAATGAGCTGTGATGAGTCGGAGCCGTAGGGACGAGCATTGGGAATGCCGTGGGGCCTGTCACATCGCGCCATCCACACGCCTGCCTTTCCCGAATTCAGACAGTTAGGCCGGATCTCCAAAGGTGATCTCCGACTCCTGGGGAATCTCGTGGGACTCCGCCATGCTGCGCTGTCCTCCACAGGCTCCCGAGGTGAGTGAGGCGACTCGGGTTGGGTCCGCAACATCTGGCCATGTGCGTCTCCTGACCCCGATCTGTCAGCCAGTGCCCCAATCCACGTCTTTCTGGAAGTGGAGGTGTAAACCTCCATGAGCTGCTCCCCACGACGGGTGCAGACCTTATGCTATATGCATATATCATCCCCCCCTCTTCTCTCCTCTCCAATTCCCCCCCCCCCCCCCCGCGCCCAGCAAACACAACACAACCGGTGAATCCAGCACCCAACCCAATAAGCCTTGGTTGGTTCTTGGATCGCACACCAGCCGTGCTGGGGTCCCCAAGTGACTCAAACCAGCAGAAACAGCTTCCTAGGGAATGTTTCTGGGATGCCCCCCGCAATACGAGACTGGTGACTTCCATGATAAAGCCCGGGGACAATGCGACTCTGCACAAGACGCCAAGAAACTCGTTACCTATGCTTAGGCTGTCTTGGACAGAGATCCCACCGCACTGTCCTCCAGCCCCACAGACCCAACCTCATTTAGGCCTCGGGGGCTTTGGTACTCCTCCCTCCTTCCCCCGACTCAGACCTCAGCCCAGCCCTGGCTGTCCAGCGGCATCCTCGGGTACAGACACGGCACTGGCTGCTCTTTCCTGCCTCATCGACACCAGCGCCTCATCCATCATCTTATGGCCCACCAGCTTACGGCCCATGCTCGGAGTAGGCACCCTCGTGCACAGACATCTGTTGAAGGGCTGCTGGAAAGTTCCAACCACTTGCCTGAATGGGTCCATTCTTCCCCTGCCTTCCCCATGTCCCGCGGCCACCTCTCCAGCTCGCCTCCTCTAGTTCAGACCAAGAATATGAAGCACAGCACAGCTGCCCTGGTCCCGCCTGCGCACATTGCCTCAGTCCTCCACTCCAGTGTCTCCTCGTGGCCTCCCGGGGTCCGCCGGCCTGCTGCAGGTTGTCTGTCTGTCCCTCTGAATTCTACAGCGCCAAGACTAAGCGTCCAGGCGGCGGGACACAGAGCTCTTGTAGTTCGCATCGTGTGGCTCTGGGATCAAACCCTGGCTGCCCCTCACACTGAGGGTGAGACCAACACGGGTCTCGCCTCCCTAAACTCATCTGCGGACCTCAACTGGAGCGGCAAGCGTGGCGGCTGCCGCCCGGGGCGCAAGGCGCGCGCAATGGCCCTGCTCGGAAGGCAGGAGCCGGGCGCCTCTGCTCCCCTCCCGAGGGCCCGGCACCCACCTGCAGCCACAGACAGACAGAATCCGTCCTGGCCACCTGCATGCTGGCTTCCCCCTGAACCAAGAGGTTCAGCGGGCCCGACGCTGGGGACTGGGCTGGGGCAGAGGCAGCTGCCTGGTGCCAGGCAGGGGAGGGGAAGGATTCCGGGAGGGTCTCTGCACCTTCAGAAAGACACCCCCACCCCATGCCTACCGCCCTGCCCGGCAGCCAGGAGGCCCTCCCCGTCCTCATCTTGGCTCTTCCTCCATTCTTGACTGTGCCAGTCTGGACTTCCTATCCAGAAATGCACGGCACCCCCTCCCGGACTCCCCGCGGCCCCTCCCTGTCCTCATCCGCCTGCAGCAAGGTTTGCCCGTGAAGGGGTGCCCTCTGCCCCTACCTCAATCCCTCAGGGCTGGGGAGCAGTCGTGGTGACCAATGGTGTGCTGTCCTGTTGTTGGCTTTTCTGGTCCGATTCTAGGTGTCTCGGACAGTGTGTGCACGTGTGTGTGTGTGCGTGCGTGCACACGGCACGCCTCCCCTCTCCGTACCGCCGCCTCCTGGGGGCCCACCAGGTGCACCCCTCCACCGCAGCAGGTGCTGTCACAAACGCCCCCCAAAGCGTTCCTCGGCACCCACGCCGGCTGCCCGTCCTAGAAGCAGATGGGGGCTTCCTCGCTCCCCTTGTGTGGAGCACTGCAATCCCGAGGCCGTGGGAGGTGACGGGCCTACAGCGACCCTAGTGCCCTAATCCAGGCGGCATGGGCTTCTAGAAAATAAGAGCTGGGAAGGAAGTTGGGGTGGGGGGAAGGGGGGTGGGCACACAGCTGCCCTGATCTTTCAGGCACATGGCAAACGGGCTTTATCTCCCTGGGTGCCTGCAGCTCGGCGATCTGTGAGCTCTTAATAATTGGGTTGCTGACCTTTTGACAGGTCTTTTTCCCTGCTGAGGTAATAGAAAGGGGGAGTAGGTCTATCCTGCACGTAGCGCCCCATAAGCCCGCGCCTCACAGCAGCTCTGGATTTCCTGAGAGGCCGAGCAGCTGGCTGGAGTCCGGGGACTGGCCTGCCCTACGCCGCTCTGCTACCGGCTGATGGAATCCACTACTGTCCCCACTGCCCAGGACCCCTTCAAACGAGTCGGGAATGCTTGGCTGCTGCCCTGGGTACCCTATTAGAGGGAGAGCTGGAGCTGGAAAAGCTCGACCACGCAGAATTCAAGAGCAGGACTGGGGGACCGGCACCGGAATAAAGGAAGCACTTGAGCATTTCTAGCAAGCCATGCTCAATTCTTTCAGATACATTATCGCATCATGGGAGACGCACAGCATCTTCAGAGGCACGGTGAGAAATGAAGTGAGGGCAGGGTAAGAACAGCTGTACTGTACCTGTGAGTCTCACTTCTAGCCTCTTACTAACAAGCCACTCCAAGCTAGTTAACACCTTTGAGTCTATTTTCTCATGGATAATGAAGCCTGCCTGCCTGCCTGCTGATGACATAAAAACGTGCCTTGTGAGTAAAGAATTTTCATGCCTCCTGGTCTCGAAAGGTTTGTTCCATGATACGATGGCAGTAGCCAGGACCTACGCGAGGTCATAAATTCAAAACCTGGTTTTCTGACTCCCAGTCCAGTGCTCAGAGAACCTGATTCACTTACACATTATTTGAAGTTAGTTTTTTTTAAGTATTAGACCAGGTGACCCGACGACGTGCTCACTGTGAAAGCACTTGCCGGGTGCTGGCGTGGCCCAGCAGCTCACCGTGAGGGTGAAGTCAGGAAAGCAGATCTGCAAGTGCAGCACCGTGTTCTCCAAAGCAGCAGCTGAGATGGAAACGAGGCTGGGAATCATCTGGGGAAAGGATGAGCAAGTGGGAAGAGGGGGTAAACCACAGGGGCTGAGTGGTCTTTTCTCTCTCTCACACACACACAGTCTGCACCAACAGGTCAAACTGCAGCTCCCAGCCTCCTCACTCCTATGCCCAGCCTTCTTTCGCCTCTGCCCACACTGTGCACTTCCAAGAAACCCATCCCAAGTACCCAGACATCCCCTCTTCGTCTGGACCTCCCCTCTGTCCCGAGAAGGGTCCATCAGAAGCATTCCCATGCATGTCTAGCATCCAATGCGACCACACCGGCACTCAGCAGTCATTTCCCCTACCAGGCTGAGCACCACACACCAGAGGAAAGGGCTTGCAGCAGACCACTCGAGACCTGTGGAACTGAGACCTGTGGAACTGTGCGGCCAGAACTCTGACCGCTTCCCTCCTTGGAGGAGGAGGAGGGTCTTCAATGCTTCCTCCTTCCTTCTCTTTCCCCAAAGAATAGGGCTCCGAACCAGTCCCTGTCGGCAACAAAGCAAGGACCTCTATGCAGTCTTCAGCAGTGTCTTGATATTCAGTCTTGTCCCGACAACTTATCTCATGTTTTAGAGCTGCATCTCCCAGGCGCCAATGACATGCCCAGCTGTCCGGACTCCGAGCCTCACTCGCCAGTTACACGGGGGCCACTGCCCACCAAAGAAACAACGCCCAGGCCAGATGGGAACACGCTGTACTGGTTTATTTAAAAACAGGTAAGACATGATTAATTTCTTTTTAAATATAGAATGCTTTACAAAGGAGAGATGGAGGAGGAGAGGGAAGAAGAGGGAGGAAAGAAGGGCATGATTTCCTAGGGTAGACTAACACATGAAGCAGAAAGGAGAGAAAGAACAAAATGGAGGATGTAAGAGAAACCACAGAACGAGGCTGTCCTGGGCCAGAGCTCAGGCCTTTTGCGGGGCTCCTTCCCCCTCCCCCCCTGTATCTTCCCAGGCCGACAGGCCAGCTGACTGGCTATCAAGCAATGCAGAGCCCAGTTCACAGTGAGAGGAATGGGAGGATGGCCCCTGGTCCTCGAGGGAGGGCACACAGATGCACGCCTTTCATTCTCACAACTCGGCTTCCCTGGCACAGGGCAGGCGTGCGTGCCTCAAGGCCCCCGGCCTCGTGGCCCATCCGGCTGACACCACGTGCGGCTCCATCCGTCAGAGGTCCAAAAGGAATCTCCTCACCTGGGCCAGGTACTGTGGCTTCAGGTAGTCGCCCAGCTCCTCCTTACTGACCCACACGTGGTGGCCCTTCTTCTCCACCTGGGAAAAGTCTCCGCTGAGTAGCAGAGCTTTGAAGAAGAAAATTTTGGCCCCCAGCTGGCTCTCTGTCCGCATCGCCTGGGGGAACTTGAACTTGTAGTGACCACAAGGGGCATTTCCTAGGAATTTGGCTTCCATATTGTTTTCTGAGGGGAAAAAAGAACAGAATTGGAAGATAAGGATATACCCATCCGTGCACACTGGCTCTTCAAATCACAAGGGCCTCTGGGAAGCTGCTTCTAGCATGAGATGGAAACCATCCTCGGGAGGGAGGTCAATCCACACGCTTCCCAGCACAGAGTCCAAACATGCCAGTCACCCCCAGGCACAAAACCACTGCTTTCCAACCGCAAGTCAGCACTATCTGGAAGTGAGAGCCGCTGACTTCTGTCTGTTAAGGAAGAACGAAGACACCTGCTACCTGTAAAGCAAAGCAATGGGAGCAGGAAACGCACAGAAGGGACCTCAGATATGACTTCTAGTGTATGTCCTAAGACGGTTCATTTAAAAGTATTTTTAATATCATTTTACAAAACCTTATTACAAACACGAACAAAAGATCTCAACAGGCAATTCACAGAATGAATAAAGCCCATAAATATGAAAAAAGATGATCAGTTTCAGCCAGGCATGGTGGTATATGTCTGTAATTCCAGCTACTCAGTAGGCAGAAGCAGGAGGATGAGTTTGAGGCCAACTAGGGAAAAGATAGCTAAGGAGAAGATCTCAAAAGCACGATACAAACAAAATGGCTGAGAGTGGACCTCAAGTGATAAGAGTACTTGCATCTGGGGCTGAGAAGGTGGCTCAGAAGTAGAGTACTTGCCTCGCATGCATGAGGCCCTGGGTTTGATTCCTCAGCACCACATAAACAGAAAAAGCTGGAAGTGGCGCTGTGGCTCAAGTGGTAGAGCCCCAGCTTTGAGCTGAAGAGCTGAGGGACAGCGCCCAGGCCCAGAGTTCAAGCCCATGACCGACAACACACACACGACTGAGAGACCACACACACACACACACACACACACACACACACACACGTGTGACTGAGAGATCTAGGCAAATAGGCACTCCTAAAACTGTTTTGAATTTTGTGGCCAGAGGACAAGTGGGGAAGAATTTATCAAAAAATGTAACATCCTCTGACCCATTAACTCCAGGAATTCCAGTTTGCAAAATCACTGGATATATAGAATGGCGATGGAATATATGCTCCCTTTCCTTACGTATTTATTGTTTGTATTTTTATTTTCTATTCCTTTCATGTTTACTACATGGGAATGTCAGGAGGAACGCCTACGAACAAGCTAGACCCTGCCCACTCTCCACAGGGAGCTCAGGCTGGGGCCAGGAGAGGTTTCGCATGAGGGAGGCTGAGCACTGAACCCACAGATCCTGCGATGAACCCCAGCTGGCAACATCTCTGTGACGGAGAATGGCAGAGCCCTGCAACGCACTGCTGTTTTGTGAGGGGCAGGTATGCTGGGAACAAGGTCAACGGTGACGCCAAAGTTTCCAGCTGAGTGAGTGCTAGGCAGCAGTGGCGGCCAGCAAGGCTGCGAGGGTAAGGAGAGTCACGGGCTGAGGAAATGGCAAGGGCATCGCCTCAAGTGTAACACAAGTCTCAGTGGTACAAAACACTCTCCAGCTGGAAGGAAAATTCTTACCTGGATATCGCCACTGGACCTTTTTACACACGAGTGTCCACTGAGCTTCACGTCCCACTCTCTCCCCCAGGCTGAGGTCGGGAGTGGATCTCACGGGAACTCACCTGGCAGTGTGGCCAGCGTCCGCTCAGCGGTCCCTCGAAGGGTCTCTCCAGGCTGCCACTCTACTTGGGGCAACATCCAAACATCCTGGTCCCCAAGCTTCGTTCTGACTAACAGGATGAGGTTCCTATCTAGCTTCCGGCGCAAGGAGGTTCGGTCATTTTTTTTATCGGCATCTACAAAGAATAAGGGGTGAGAGGAGGCAGGAGACTGGGATCAGGCAGAACAAAGGCACTGAGTTCTAAAGTTTGTCCTTTAAAGGAAAGCCACTGTCCTTGCCCTCAAAGTATAGCCAAATTACAGCCTGAGCCTGTCTCTGTCATTCCTGACTTCTTTCAGGGTAGAGTCTCAAACTCTTGAGGGAACTAAAAGAAGAAACCAAGAGTTGAACTTCTGCTATGCAAAACAGTCTAAACCCTTGAATAAGAAGCCATATACAGACTAATTAGAATACAAGGAAGTTAGAGCACTTGTCTAGCAAGGGAAAGTCCCTAGGTTCAATCCACAGCACCACAAGGAGAAAGAAAGAGAGAGAGGAAAAGAGCACAGAAAGAGGGAAGGAGGAAAGAAAAAGAAGCTGCTTTGTTAGATTTTACACTATTGCTGATCTGTATTTTCCATTTCTGTTATTCAGTCTTCATATGTAAAACAAAGATAACACAACTCAAATGCCTGCTTTAAGCGATTTCCCGTGAAACACAGAAGAACCAGAATGAAAAATTAATGTCTCCATTATGAACTTCAGAGCTGTGAAACTCAAATGACACAAAGTTTAATTGAAAGAGAAAGCTTACCCAAACACCCTTACCTCACAATCAAAATAACACACGCCTTTTAAAATCTGTAGTAGGGTATGTGTGAGGAATGTGGAAAAGAACTTCTTTTCCTGTAGGTTATTTTGTTATTAAAAGTCAGTTGCTATTTGAAACACATGGCAGAAGCTAAACAACTGCCCTTCCATTGGAAGTCAGAGCATCCGACTTTCCCTTCCTTTCTGGCCTAAGAAAGATCACGAACCTGTTTCTCGAGTTGCGAGTTTGAACTGGAGGAATTTCTGCTCCCACATATCTTCCAGATCTTGCACAAGCAATATATTCTGTTCGTTGTCGTCGTCATCGTCCAGGTCGGCTTTCTTCTTTGCCAGTCGCTGAGCTTCCTCCAGGGCACGAAGCTCGTGGTCGGAATACAGGCTTCTCTCTATCTCAATCTGGGAAGGTTAAAGGGGGAGGAAAAGCAGAGTTACCACGCTCTTGCCAGGCTTGATACTTAATCCCCGGGGGTGGAAGCATAGGTGATAGAGGACCAAACATCGGTGAAACCATCTGATACCTAGTTCCAGTGCTGATTTCCGGGAAACGGGAGGTAGTTTACCCCTTAAGATAACCAGGAATACGACGAAAAAACACAGAAAGAAACCAGAGCCGCTAGACAGAAAAGGCTCCCGGTTCCGCCCGCCGCCCCCAGCCCACCCCGTCACCTCAATGACCCCTGTCACCCCGAC